TTGGGAAGAAGGAACCAGATATTTGACATGCTCTGAAAAAAAACTGACTTGTTTTTAAACACAAGATACACTCTAAAGTATTTATAATATGTTGCACAGTCCATGGATTCTATTTTAAGTAAAAACTCCGGCACTTGCCTTACTCTTTCTGGGTATTACTGATTTGTGCAGGAAGATTGGAAAAGGTAGTCAGCATTTAACTCAAGTTCAAGAAGTTAACACGGGCTGGTAAGGTGGCTCAGTGGTAGAGTGCTTGCCTTTTGAGCATGAGGCCCTGGGTTCGATTCCTCAGCACCACATAAGCAGAAAAAGCTGAAGTGGCTCTGTGGCTCAAGTGGTAGGGTGCTAGCCTTGAGCTGAAGAGCTGAGGGACAGAGTTAAAGCCCCAGAGTTAAAGCCCCATGGCCAACAAAAAAAAAATTTTTTAAAGTTAACACTGACTTTGGATAATTATTTGAATTTCTAAAGTGACTTAGTGTCTGGCATATTATTGAAAGTGTATTTAAGGTCTAAGAACATGTAAGTGAACCATTGTCTTTCCACGATTCTTGTGACTACTTCTGTACAGTGTATCATAACATTATTATTTGCAGTGCTGAGATCACATCCTGGAGTTTATGCTTATAACTTGATTTTTAACCTTAGCATAGTGTAATTAAAAATTAAAAAATATCTAGGTGCCATTTGCTCACATCTGTAATTCCAGCTACTTAGGAGGCTGAAATTTGAGAATCGTGATTTAAATCTAGCCTGAGCAGGAAAGTCCGTCAGACTCTGATCTCCAATTAACCACCAAAGGGCTAGAAGTGGAGCTATGGCTCAAGTAGGCCCAGGGACAGCACCTAGGTTCTGAGTTCAAGCCTCAGGATTTGCACACACACACATACACACCAAAAAATAAAAAAAAATATATTGCATATTTTTTCTCATAGGTGGAATTATGAAGGTAGCAAAAGCAGGGATGAAGTAGGGGATCAATAGGAGTGTAATAGAGGAGTGACCTGTTTTAAAGTACATTGTACACATCCATGGCATCACAATGAAAACCTCTGTATTCTAACTGTAAAAAGAGAGCTTTAAGTCTCCAAGGGATAAAGAAGGCAGCCTGTGCTTGGGGGTAGTGTCTCAAAGAAAGGCTCAGGATGGAGCTCAGAAGTAGAGTGCTTACCCTGCATGCTCCAGTACACATGCACTGAGTTCAGTCCCTGGCAATGCAAACAAAGAAAAAAAAATAGAGCATCTGCAAGGAGAAACTTTAAAAGGTAGGAAAGTGGATTCTGTGTGTACTGTGTTGAAGAGGTGTGTAAAGGGGTGACAGGGAAGCAGCAGGGAGATAACTTAAGTTGTCTAAGGCTACAGTGACTGAGGCAGAATTTGTTGCAGCCAGAGAACAAACCCAGGTGTGAACTGATCTAGTTAGGCAGAGGTGTGAGTAGTGAAGTGTAAACTTTGGAGTCACTCTGGCTTGCCTTGGAGTCTTGGCCCTGCCATGGACTGACTTTGTGACTAGAGCCTCAATCAGCATACCAAAAGTGATACCCAGCTTAAATACTTTCCTTGAAGAGCACGGAAAAAAAAATGTATGTGAGCTCTGTAATACAGAGTATGTGCTCCACAATCGGCATCCCTTTCCTCTTTTTACATTCCTCTGAAGTTCCATACTCCACCAAGTGGAGTATTCCATAGTCATGAGTTCCTTCATTCTATCATCCTGTTTACCTAATTTGCCAGCGAGTATATGTTTGCTAGGGAAAAGAATATAAGCCAGTGAGAATAGTTCTAAGCAGATAAGCCTATGTTTACAAATATAGGGAACTTGCTAGGGGAAAACTTCCATGTTATCATATTACTTAATCTCATTCTAATATATTATTTGCATTTTTTTTTCCAGTTTTACTTAGTGGACAAAATCAATTTGATCTAGAAAAGAAGTTCTTGGGCTGGGAATGTGGCTTAGTGGTAGAATGCTTGCCTAGCATGCATGAAGCCCTGGGTTTAATTCCTTAGTACCACATAAGCAGCAAAAGCCAGAAGTGGAGGTGTGGCTCAAGTGGGAGAGTGCTAGTCTTGAGCCAAAGAAGTTCAGGGACAGTGCTCAGGCCCTGAGTTCAAGTCCCAGGACTGACAAAAAACAACAACAACACAAGAAGTTCTTTTAAAAACCATTCTCCCATGTATAAACTGGTCTTTAATCTGGCCACTGTTTTGTTCAAGTAAATATGTGAATCACTGCATAAAGCATTTGATAAAGCATACCAGTAAAAGTTACCTATTAATTCTTGTCACATCCATTTCAGTGGTTAATTGGAAATAGTTATCTAAAAAGAAGTTAGTTATTTTTAAGCCGTGGAATGATTATAAAAGAGAATGCTTGGGCTGGGAAGGTGGCTCAGTGGTAGAGTGCTTGCCTTGCATGCATGAGGCCCTGGGTTCAATTTCTCAGCATCACATAAGCAGAAAATAAAAAAGATGGAAGTGGCGCTGTGGCTCAAGTGGTAGAGCGCTAGCCTTGAGCTGAAGAGCTGGGGGACAGCGCCCAGGCCCAGAGTTCAGGCCCCACGACCGGACTCTCCCCCCCCCCCCAAAAAAAAGAGAGAACGCTTAGATTTATCTGTGCAGCCTTTTATAAATTGTAATTAAACATTGCATAATTTTCTGCCCTTAAAGACAAATGGTGACTTCATCAGTTTCTATTTTAGCAAAGTTTGTAGTTTTCCACTGTACTAAGTTCTCTGAAACTTTGATATGAAAAGGATCATATAAAAATCACGGAAAACTAAGCTTACTTAAAAAGTGAGGGAATTTGCAAATTAAATCTTTATGACTGATTTGTTATATCCTGAAACAAAAATTCAAGGTGCTATGTTCCTGTTTTTATAAAGTTAAGAGTCCTAAAAACTTGGCTAATTTAACTTAAATGTCTGATATGGATCAGTAATTTCTGTATAGACTATTTTATATCATTTTTTTCTCATGAACAGTTTATTGACAATTTATAAATATAATCACTAAAACATTTTAATTTTTAGTCTTCAGAAAAATTTATTCGTGGGAAAGAGACTTAATATTTTTGACGAAAAGACATTTTCTGAAGAAGCATCTGAAGCAGGTTTGTTAAAAGTACTGTTCCTCCAGTGGAGAAATGTCTGTCTCTCAAAGATGTTTTTGGTGGTGTGATTGGGTAGTGGTTGGGAATAGCCCATTTAGGAATGCAGCTGTTGAGGTTGTTAATCCTGATCATACCTGGAAATGTTATAATCTGTGGACTCACAGGAGGTCAGGATTCCCAGCTGAACCATCCAGAGGTACATAGGAACTAGTAATTTACAGTAGTAATTTAGGTTAGAACATTAGTAATCATCTGCCATTGGAGTGTACCCTTTGTGCTCTTACATCATGATAAATAAACTGTGGTTCCTGGTTAGGAGTGCTCACTATTTTGAAGAGAAAATGGCATTTATAGAAGTAA